CCTTACCCCCCAATCACCAGCTGTACTAATCCTACCTATCTTCCCTGGCAGAAAGTGACCGGTCAAGTATGTACGGTACGTAGGTCCCTGACCGAAGCACAGCTCCATACTCCGTAGTCCCGCCATACTGAACTCCAAAGTGGGCGTAAGCAACCTGTAAGGCTGTAACTCTATCATAGAGCGGCCCGAAGCCGCCCATCACTCATTTTGTGGAGTACGGATGAACACACCTGTCATGCACAACAGACCGACCGACCAGGAGGCCTCTTCTCCCATAATCATACCGACTTCATGAACTCTATTGCGAGGCTTTTGTTTCAGGTGTGTCCAGGTTAATTGAAGATACATTAGTTGACAGGAACTACTTGGTGACGGACCCAGGCCAGCAAGTGAGGTAGTCCGCTGAGGGAGAGACCTTGGTTCCAATATCCGACTGCTTGAGGTTTTTTTTCCACTTCAGGGTCCGACTGGGACTGAGCCATATACTGTCTGTCTATGGCTGCAACTTTCTAATACGAGACCAAGACTTTTGGGCTTTAAATCATAGGTATTTCATCATCATTGCTTTTTGTACAGGCAGACAATCAGCATGACCATCATTACCCCTTGTGTCCGTGGTTGAATGCATCGGATGTTTCAGTGACATGAGTCCACTGCCACAGATCATTCAATCTATCACTTTTGCAGAAGTATGGAATCTTCTTCTGTGCTCATAGTATTATTATTGACAGTCATCTCGCCTAGCTCATGTTTAGCTGTTCTGTAAGAACTTAAGAAAAACCTCACCTCCCCTTCTCTTTCCCTTTAATCTTTAAGGCTCTTAGTGTTCCTACCTACTTCCTGCTCTAAGGACACAGAATATCTCACGGGTTTCTCTCCACTGTATAGCACGAGTATTACAGTTCACCTCACCTTCTATCTTACTATTCTTGTTAACTAATAGGCTCACGTCAAACAGCATCTCCTTCTCAACAAGGCTCTGCGACTGAGGCAGATGCCTATCAGTTGATCACAATGTCTGACCAGTCCATACTCCGCATCACTCGGGTACTATATCTCCTCACCAATCCTTTTCTGTCTGTTCTCAAAGCATCATGTTGACTAACATATGAAAACTTCATTCTGGGTATCAGGAAATCAAGCATATCCAGCACAATGCAGATCTCTGTATGTCTTTCATTTAAGCAAGGATTTGCTTCTCACTGCAATTAGAGCCTTGCTAACGGCTGTTTCTTCACTTACAGCTCTCGCCGTCGCATACAAGGATTCTGATATCCGCGATGTGACCGCTATTGTGTTGGGGACTCCTGGAACACCTTACCAGTTCGGTCTCTTTGAAGTTTGTACTCATTCATACTAAAGATGAGGCTATTCGCTGACTGCCAGCTAGTTCAGCATTAATTTCGGTAAAGGTAGGCATGCTGGTCGATCTGCGCTGAGTGCCAAACGGCTGATATTATTTCAGATTATCCTGCGACTCCTCCGATTGTTCAAATTACTACGACCAATGGAGGACGATGCCGCTTCGGTCCTAATCTCTATGCGGGGGGCAAGGTTTGCTTGTGAGTCAAGGACCAAGAACACGTCAACACCGCTGAGATGCTGACAAAGCTGGCCCTGCAGGTCAATCTTGGGGTAATTAGAACCTGCTGGATAACGGCTTGCCAATAAAGCTGACAGCTTCGTCCTGCAGAACTTGGGGTGGTCAGCGCGGGGAGGAGTGGTCGTCGGCTCAAGGACTGGAGTCTATCCTGATATCCATTCAGAGTCTCATGTCGAACAATCCTTATGAGAATGAGCCTGGATACCAAGGTGCACATACACCCGAGGACCAGGAAAACAGCCAGGCTTATATTGAGAAGGTAAGTCGCCTCAGGTACGGTGGTTAACTGTGTGCTTACCTTGCCTTGAGATACGTCATGAAACTCTTCGCCTTGCAGTTATCCAACCTTTGGAATCGTCGCTGGGCATTCAGCCAGACGGAACAGTCAAGCCATCCGAGAGCAAGAACGCAAGCGAGGATGATGAATGTGATGACCCGTTCGAGGACGAAAATGACACTTTCTTCGAGCCCTTTGTGGACCTCCGCAAGAGACGCTTCTTGTGGTACTTCGACTCCTACACGCAAGCGATCAAGGAAGCAGAACCACACGTTAGACGCCGCCAGAGATTTAAAACCATGCCTTTCGAGACCGAAGATAATTGCATGAGGGGCCATTTTAATTTTCCCGAATTGGGACGCCGACTCATCCGTGTAAAGGAAGCCATCCTCAAAGAGACGCACAAATGGCCAATGGAAGGGCTCGAGGCGAAAAAGCAGGAAGGTAGCCTTGCGGTGAGCCTGCAAAGTCAGTATGAGCAGATCGTTGAGGATTTCAATCATCGCCACAATTTCACAGTGGACCTTCGCCTCGTTGATGGAAACCCGTTTCTCTGGGAATTGACTTATTTTGGTCGTCCCATGACCCAGCTTGATGGAGGTGTGTTTAAGATCAAGATCTATCTGAGTCCGCGATTCCCGGACGAGCAACCTCGTGTCGTCGTAGACACAGATCTCTTCCACTACCGGGTGGCTAAGGACGGAACGTTGTGCTATTTCCCACAGCGCACAGAGGAAATGCGCCATCATGTCGAGGCAATCTTGGAGGCACTTGAAGAGGAGTCCCCACCTTACGATCCGCGGACTACGGTGAACCCGGAAGCATCCAGGTTGTTCTGGGGTAGCCCAGAGGACCGAAAGAACTACAACCGTGCACTCCGCCGCTCGGTGCAGAAGAGCGTAGAGTGAGATCTTTGCCGGCTCGTCACGCTCTAAGGCAACATGTACGTATCAGTCCAAATATGTTCAACTGTCTTGAAGTACTTTGGTGGCTTGGTATCTGGGCTTTGATCCCTCATCTGGAAATTCCAGGTCGCCAACCCTTTTTTTTCTGGCCTCGCCAACCTCCTGTCCTTGCACCAATCCTGTCACACGCCTCTAAGACTCTGCCGTCGAAAGGAGACATTCTTCATTTGCCCAGGGCCTTGAGTCCACGGTTAGTTTGGATGCAGGTATCGAAAATCTATGATTTCAAAGCGGCGCGATAGGCATAAATGGACATTGTTTGCTAGGTTTACTTTGCATCAATTGTAGCTAGCAATATCAGCCGTTCTAGATGTCTGGCAGTTTCGATTTACAAAAAGCTGTTGTGGTCCGCATTTCGAGGCATAGATAGTTCGTACTTTACCGATCTGAGGCTTGTGGGGGGCTCCGAGCTTGTGCCCCGGAAAGATCTCAAAGCGGCAGCCAACCTTAATAATCATTTAAATGGCTCATTGATAGCAACGCCCCCTATCTAAGTTCAATCACCAGACAAAAGAAAAAAACAGACCGCACTGTCCACCTCACTTTCTCCGCCGAACCAGAATATCCCCCATCCTCTTCCTTCGACCACAAAGAAAGAGTATCGTTCGATCAATTGACAGCCCCGATGTCTCAGAAGCGGCCTACTTTGGAGCTGGGCTCTGTTCTGGTGGTCGGAGGTTGCGGGTTTCTGGGCTGGCACATTGTCGATCAATTGCTCAATTTCCCTTCAGAGACCGATGCCAGCGTCGCCCTCCCGAAACCAGAAGGAGACTCTCGATTCGATAATCCTCGGTTGTCCGATCGGTACCCCAGATGCGTGGCGAAGGTCTCCGTTCTCGACCTGCGAACGACCAACAATCGCCTGCCAGGCGCACAGTACTACGACGGCGACATCACGTCCGAAGAATCCCTGCTGGCTATTTTCCGCGCGGTCAAGCCCGACGTGGTCATTCATACCGCGACGGCGAACGTGTTGGAAGGAAATAAGGAGCTGCTGCGCAAGGTCAATGTCGATGGAACCAAGACGTTACTGCAGGTCGCGGGCGGTGATCGTGGTGACTGGGGTGGAAAGTGCAAGGCCTTTGTGTATACGAGCTCGGCCTCCGTCCTGCACGATACACAGAGTGATCTGAAAAATGTGAACGAGGATTGGCCGCTTATTCGGGGCAAGCTGCAGCTGGAGTACTACTCCGATACCAAGGTTTGTTATGTAGACCCTTCTGCCTCGCTGGATTCTATTAACGGAATCCAATCTGCCTAGGCCGAAGCCGAAGAAATAGTCTTGAAGTACAACCGTGCTTCTCCCTCATCGATGGTGACATGTGCGGTGCGCCCCGCGGGTATATACGGTGAGAAGGACACCACATTCACTTTCAAGGTTCTTGAGCACGCGGCCAAAGCATCCCCGACCGTCTTGCGTATGCAGCTCGGTGATAATAACAACTTGTTTGACTTCACATATGTCGGCAACGTCGCCTACTCTCATCTGCTTGCCGCATACCATCTTCTTGCCACTCAGATGCGGTACGAGGCCGGGCAAGGCGGACCCCTGGACCACGAGAAGGTAGACGGCGAAGCCTTCAACATCACAAATGACTCTCCCGTGTACTTCTGGGACATTACTCGCGCTGCATGGGCGCTGGCAGGAAAGGTCGTGGAGCCTGACCAGGTGTGGCAGCTGCCCGAGGATCTTCTCGGACCCATTGGCGGCGTCTTAGAGACGGTGTTTGGTCTTATTGGCAAGACACCCCGTTTGACAAGGCGCATTGTCCGGTACTCCTGCATGACTCGCTACTACTCCTGTGAAAAGGCCAAGCACCGACTCGGGTACAGTCCAATCGTATCGGTCCCTGAGGGTCTCTCCCGTGCAGTTGGATATGTGCTGGAAAGCGAACGATTGGAGTCTGAAAAGAAGGGGTTGTAAAGCCTTGACTGGAAAGATTTTAGGGTCGATACGGCGTATATGTATTGTAATATATGACTAATTCTTGTGACATTTCCCTCGGCTTTGTCCTGTTCATAGTTCTTCATGCAAAGCTATGCGTGCTGATGCTATTCATGATAGATGTTATGCAGAAATCCTCATACTACCAATCGAGAAGTCAGAGCAAGCAATATGTCTTCATTCGCATGGCTCACAGCCAAAACTTGTAGGTCAAAATCGTTTGATATTGGCTGAACCAGTTTTCCTATCGAGAAGATCCACGATATTGACATATACCTTTGACAAAGCCTGAAAAATGCAATCAGTATCCCGGTCTTTAAGCTTCAAGGCAGCATAGCATACCTTCTTGCATTGCGTGATAGACGTGAACGGCCCTGTCAGGTCCAGCTCCTCGCACAATTGCTGCCAGCTCTGAAGTCCGCTGAGATTCTGTCCAAGCAGCCTATCGTACTCCAGGGCCATGCATCGGTTCCACATCTTGCGCCAGGTTTTCGAGCCCGTCTTCCATTTTCTTTGGCTTGCTAGACGGTTGAACTCATCGCTCACTGGGGCGTCCGGGTTGGGCTTGAAGTCTGGGAAGTCGGTGAAGAACCCGCGCGTGTTCGCTGCCATTGCAGGGGAGTCTTGTGGTTCTGCCATCGCCTGGTGAGGTCATGATTTCTTCGCTGGGAGTGTTGAAGGTTAACCTGTGGGTCATATTAAGAATCTAGAAGCAGGGGTTGTCTCAGAGCTACTGCTTGTCTCAGGACAAACAAAAAAGGCTGCATTCACATAGAGTGCGTCTTTGTTAGTTGTCTGACTAATTTATATGGCAGTCTTGGGACTGGTCTTCGAGAATGAGAACGGACCTCACAGGAACAGAAAGAACTACCCTAGCGCCATCTAATTGACTACAACATGGGTAACAGCTGTGAATTCCCACGGTCGAACAGTTTCACGTCATTATCTGCCATTTAGCTGTGTGGATCCAGCTACTCTGTTCTTCTATTTACTTTGCCTCGACCAGTCATTGAAATGCAGCTCCCTGTGCCCTTTGTCAGCTTCTTGGGCTTGCTTACAAGTGCTCTACGAAGCTGGACAGACGGCGTCTCGGATCTGTGGGGAAGCACTTCGGGAATTGATGAGACGTTCGACTATGTCGTTGTCGGTGGTGGTACTGCTGGCGTGACTCTCGCGGTCCGTCTGGCTGAGCAGAAACTCCGGGTGGCTCTCGTCGAGGCTGGGGAAACATACGAACTCAAGTCTCCAATAGCAGCCATTCCTGGCGCCGCCAGTATAGGCGTTGGCTCTGATATTGACTCTAGCACGGTAATCGACTGGAAGTTTGTGGCTAGAAACGTCTCGGGTGCTAATCACCGTGACATTCATTATCCCAGAGGCAAATGTCTCGGAGGATCGTAAGAGCATCGCGCTATTTTGCCTTTTTCGAGGCAATCAGCAGATTTTACTGACTTAATCTTCTGATCTGGGTAGGTCAGCTCTGAACTTTATGGTCTACCAAAGGTGAGCCAATTCTCTCCATTCTCTGCACGTCGATTCCAGGAAATAGACTGATAGCTTCTGGTAGACCAACTAGGGACTCGATGCAGCTTTGGGCTGATCTTGTTCAGGATCAGAGTTACACTTTTGACAACACTCTGCCGTACTTTCAGAAGACCGTTCAGTTCACGCCTCCAGACGCACCGAGACGAGCCGCGAACGCTACAGCGCAATACAATCCTGATGCTTTTGCTCTTGAAGGAGAACGACCACTCCACGTATCTTACCCTGTTTACGCTATGCCCTTTTCGAGCTGGATGAGACTTGGACTGGAAGAGGTGGGTATAAACGAAACATTGGACTTCAACAGCGGAACATTGTTCGGTGCTCAGTATTGCAGCTTTACAATTCGACCGTCTGATGAGACAAGGAGCAGCTCGCAAGCCGCCTTTCTGAGCCCGCTATTCCCTTCATCAACTTACCTGAAAATATACCAGGGAACGATGGCAAAGAGAATACTGTTCAACTCACAAAAGCAAGCTACTGGGGTGCAAGTCAGCGATTTACTGCGAACATTCACCCTCAACGCGGAGCGAGAGGTGATCATATCAGCAGGTGCATTTCACACCCCGCAGCTTTTGATGGTTTCTGGAGTCGGGCCGGCCGATGCTCTTTTAGAACACGGCATTGATATTGTTCAGGATGCCCCTGGTGTAGGTCAGAATATGTGGGATCATGTCTTCTTTGGCCCAACGTACCAGGTAGCTCTTGAGACTTTCACGAAAGTACCAACAGATCTATGGTATCTCACATGGCAACTGGCTCAATATATATTCTCTCATGGCGGGGTACTTACCAATCCAATCATCGACTACCTTGCATTTGAGAAGATCCCAGATTCCTTTCGCTCGAACTTCTCAGTCCAAGCGATCTGGGACCTTTCGTGGTTTCCAGATGACTGGCCGGAGATTGAGGTTGGTCGCCTTGATGTGCTGAGATGTTGATGCGTGACTGACTTGCTCATTCCGGACAGTACATCTCAGCAGCTGCATACGTGGGAGATTTCTCGAAGCCTCTGGTCTCGCAACCCTCAGGTGGTGAGCAATATGCAACAATCCTGGGCACACTTGTTGCGCCGACATCTCGCGGAAATGTGACTATCGCCTCGAATGATACCTCAGATCTGCCTATAATCAACCCAAACTGGCTTTCAACGGAGGCGGATGAGCAAGTAGCGATTGCTGCGTATAAGCGTATCCGCGACATATTTCACAGCGAGGCCATGGCGCCGATCGTCGTGGGAGATGAATATTTCCCCGGGAGTCAATATCAGACGGACGCGGAAATCCTCGAGGTTATTCGCAATACGGTGATGACTATATATCACGCTGCATGTACTTGCAAGATGGGAACACAAGGCGATCCTATGGCTGTCCTCGATAGCCGGGCCAGAGTCTTTGGTGTCGACAGGTTGAGGGTTGTCGATGCCAGTGCATTTCCCATCCTGGTGCCTGGACATCCGCAGTCTACTGTCTGTAAGTAGCAAGAACTCTTTATTCTGTGGTCATTTGCTCAACCAATTGTCAGATATGCTTGCGGAGAAGATTGCGTCCGACATCATCTCCTCATTAGTTTGATGTCCGTCAACAGCAGAGCAGGCATAGCACTATTTTGCCACAGAAGTAGATATCATATCTTCATGAACTCTTGTAGATATATATATACAGGACAGCTTTCTGATCTGTGTCTGGCAGTTCTGTCTAAAGCTTTATGAACAGATATCCTCTAAAGCTTGCTAATGTATATATCTGGTGTTCGATATACTTTGAGAACACAACGGCATCAATTGACTGCTAGACCTCGTTCTAGGGATTCTATTCGTTTTGAGGACTCAGGGAAAATGCAAATATAATTTTGAAAGCTCAATATCAGCATGCAAATTTTAAAGCATTCAACAGTCTCACAAGAACGAACTCAGATTTTCATTTCGTACGCAAAAGCCAAGAAGGGTATTCCATAGTTGACCGTGCAGAGCAGCCTGCAGCCCTCTATGGCGTGTTGACGACAGGATATGTTTATCATCCACGCAAATCGCCGATTCCATCCCCTTTGTGACCTGGAGACAGCAACAATTATGATTCGCAGGCTCTTTATACCAACCCGTAGAAGACTCGAGTAAGTAGTCACGGGGGATATTTGCATGGAATCGATCCGCGGGTAAGACGACCACCATTAGGGACGAGCAGAATGGCAGGGCCAGGTCGATCAGCAATGACCTGATAATGATGACGAGGGTTACGGGGGGTGGATGATGAAGATCATGGACCATTTCCAACATTATAGTCTACTCCGTACTTATGGTACCGTCGTTTTTAATCAGGCTAGATGAGAGAGTCCAACTTGGCCCACTGACTCCTTAGTGGATATTGAATATGCAGATAGAGGATTTGTTCTGTGGATTAAATAGTTATCGAGCATACCTAAGGTAACTTACTAGGGGTACTCGCTTTTGTGGAGGAAGAGATCCCATCTCGTCCAGTCATACTCCAGTATGCCATTCGTCTCCGCAAGAAGATGCTGATAGGCTTCGGCTAGGGATTTCTGGGGTAATGATGAACAGATCAGTTTTGAGGGGTTGCGATGTAGATAGGGCCCGACTTGCTGAAGTTGGAGATGAAGATCCCTGGGGGATCCATGGGATAATGATATCGATTGGGGCAGGAAGGAAAGATGGGGTCGGGGACGTTGTGAGAGAATGTTCTAGCGAACTATAATATTCTGGGTAGTACTTTTTTTTCCTGTAATTCGTTCTGACTATGAGGATAAGCTTAATAGGCTTTTGCTGAGTACTGGAGGGCTGAAAGTCAAATCGAAGCGTCGAGATCACGGTGCTGGCTACTATGCGAGATATGAGTATGATGGGTCAGATTTAACGCTTTCATCATCATGAATATAACAATCTGATTACTGTTCTGGAAGTAGAGAGTAAGTAACGAAGGAGGAATTGGATGCGTCATGGGAGAAGTCATGCAGAGAACGTAGGTAGGTAGGGAGAGATCAGAACGGATGCTTGCGGCAGAGAAAGAGAAGTATGGAGTGTTTGCTTTTTCCCCGCCCTTTTACCCCGCAGAGACCACCAACTGGTCCTACACCACCACCAACCTCTAAAGGAAGTGCTGTGACTTTCTCCTTGACATGAAAAACCAGAGGCCAAGTAGAATGACTTAAGTTGTTTCAAGCATGAGATAGCCCAAGAATACGAAACGAAACATCCTTCACCGTTCGAGGCCAGTAGGAATCATCTCCGAGCAATCCGCCCGGTGGTGGCCAATGGCCCTAACCTTGTTTCTTTTTTCCCCTCTATCTCCCGCTGCTTCACATTGCCCAAGCCGGCTCATATGCTATAACTGGGGAGATAGGAAACGAGCCACAATCTAAATCTATCGATTCGCCCCTACTGTACTAGACCTTCAAGAATTGATCCGTACGTAATCCGCACAGATATGTCTCATGGTCATCACTAATTACGATAGATCATTCAACAACCTTTACCAATGTCAACAACCTTTACCAATGTGGTCCAGAGTAACTTGTTTCTGTGTTGGTTGCAAGAAATGCATCTTCTATGATGAATTAGATGTCAGAGTGTTCTTCTACGACCCTGGAGCAAGCTTAGTGTTATTCCTGTCCCACATCTTCTCTGCTAAACAAGATATCAGGAACTATATCTTGTGTTAAGAATGTGCTTGTCTTGGAATGCCTCAACCAAATTGACCAAGCATGGATGGTCGGTGGCCCTCAAATTGCCCACCACCTCCAGCTCCCCGTTAACCACTCTTTTTTTGAATCAAGAAAGTCGGATTTCCCGGGCATTTCTTCAAACCAATCCACCCAGTGTTGCCAGCTTTCCATGAAACCTGGTATTTTTGCTCTGGCCGGCCAGGTTCCACAAAGCTCAAAGAGGGCTCCTGTGGTAAACGAATCCTCTCGTAATATCTGAATAGACGGTTCAGCCCTTCCTCCAAGACCCTGGAATTTGCTCCTCCTCGATCATATATGGCGGCCGCGCGTAGAAATTATACCACCAGTCGTACTCATTCAGATGGTTGTAGTAACGCATATAGTCAATCACGCTCATGTACGTCCAGCCAACATCCTCATCATCCTCATCCGTCTCACCGTCCTCATAGTCTGGATGCACGGCATAGTTTCGTTCATGAGGCTCTAGTGGTCCCCATTGACCCAAAGTAGCTTCACCACGGGATCCCTCATCTCAAGCAATGATTCCAGGCAAATATCGTCTATAAAAAGACAGAAGTTGTATCGCGTACCCAGAGTCCATTCCCGACGGAGGGTCGTGCTGAATTCTTCGCGTGCGAAGAACTCCTCTGGTCGCGATACCACCCGGGGCACTTCCTCAGACACCCAAGCGATGAAACGATCTCGGACGTCATGTGAGGTTGCCCCTTCCAAAATCTCCCTATCATCCACTATAACCGGCTTATGGCGCGGATACATTTCCATTGCGTCGTTAACCTCTAATGTTTCTTGAATAGTTTCATCAATAAGGTGCAGCATGCGCTGCCACGCCTTGTCACTGCTGTAGCCACAGCGGTAGATATTAAAGCCCCAGGAAACATCCGGCTTCAGGACGGGGTGCGAGAGATAGTCATCCAGTAATGCTATATCACTTGGCCGAGGCTTAGGGTCCATCCTCTGAGTAGAGAACCTAAGCCTTCCCAGGCAGCAGGAGAAGGTGGCTCTGTTGGCTACGGAGCAAAACTTATTCATAATTCTCCCGATGAGCTGGCCTGTCTATCTGACGGCAAGAGGGAGGAGCAAGGGCGAGCGGCGGAAAGGGAAGATAAGTGAAGAAGAAGACCAGGAAATGTGAGGAAGGGCGCCTAAGCCCTTGACTACCTAGGGATTATATTACCTCCTAAGCACCTTGGGTAGCGTATGGTGTAATTTCATGTATTAAATTGAGAAACACTAGCAATTTCTGGGTTAAAACTGGCGTCAAGCTGTTGCTCTTTCAGGCAAGCTATAGTTACAGCTGCTAGGTCTCCTATAAATGCGGTTTCTATTCAAGAGCTTCTGTATCTTAGCGGCACAATTATATATTTATTATCATCATGGGCGGATTTTCCCTGCATTCATCATTCACTGCTTAGAGATGGATTTTATAGATCCTAAATACTCTCACTAACAGCTTTCTGATCTCATTCTTCCCTTCATAATAGATTAATGAATCTAGCCGGCCCACTCTCTGCTTTTATAGATCCTTATACCTATCATGCACTTCCTACCCACCCATAGGTTGTCTACAAGTCGCAGCTCCTCCACCTTCTGTAATGCTTTGGTGGCTAATTGTTGCAGGGGACAATCCTCTATTAGCGCTCAGGAGTAGAATCCGCATATTTCAAAAGTGCAGATAGTCATGTTATTCTCCTAGGTGACTGTAATCACAGTTAACAGCTTTTCCAGGTGGTTAGAGAACATAGGGTGTCCATCCAGGAGCATCCAGTTTGCAAGCAATTAAAATAGATCTTTAGTGCTGTCCTTGAAACGTAGTTAAATGGCATGGAGATTCAGGAAATAGGGTAACAAAGCAACTAGGGCTCTAGTATCTTGATCGAACCGTATAATATGCTGTTGCTCTTCGAGAGGTGTTTCTCATGGGTTATTGCTATGACTACCATGGCTCGATCGGCAGATGATAAACAACCAGGTAGTACTTTGCAAAGGGAAACATCCAAAAAGTACCATACTGTAGTAGTACCCTTGCATAAGTACAGGCGCATGATTCGTCGTTCGCCTCACTCTGTGCTTTACCTCTACCTTGGTCTGTGTGGGTGTCTTAGCTCTCTAATCTCTTGGAAAGTATCAGAGTCATTTGTCTCATTCAGTTGTAAAGTTACTTTCTTGTGAGGGGATGCCCCTGGATTAAGGCGAGGTCAAGTGCTCTGGGGAAGAGAATGAGATCCATGGGACAAAAGGGCGATGACGAGGGTTGACGTTTGCAGGCGTGCCCCGGTCAAAGCAGCAGCCAGCATTTGTGTCTGTTCCCCATGCAGATGAGTTGGAAAGTTCAGTGCACACCATGCACACCATAGGTAGTTTGATTTGTATCTCTGTGTAGGAAGAGTAGTGGAAATCTGCATGCACGGACAGACTGCCAGAAAAGGATGTCAACGTGCCTAGTAACTATTTTTGTGAAGGGAGAAACTATAAAGTAAGAACAAATCCTAGCACAGTAAGGAAATGCAGATCTAGATTCCAGAGAAGAGGGACCAGGTTGGGATTAGCACATAGCATGGAATATTTAATAAATGCAAGTATAGTCATCTACTGTCTATAATGGATAGATACAGACAAACCAACGCATAATGGCTATTTGGAGAATGACAAGAGGTGGCGGCCAGTGGCTGTTGGGGTAGGTCGTGTGGACGGAATGATATCCCTTGAGGGGGGAAATAATGAGAAATAGTAAGGTGAAGCAATCATGTACAGAGTAGTTGTCAAGGTGGGAGATAATGACAGTGGAAGTCCGTACATTTAATTCAAGTAGCCAAATAACATGATATCCCTGTGAATCAGTGACTCAACTGGAGCATGGGCAAGACACAGGATCCCTTGGATAAAACCCAGTATTTAGAAGCTCGCCAGGACTGGCTCATAACCATGCAATAACGTTAATTATGAGAGTGCAATCATGAGATAGACTCCAAAGTCAAGACGATAGCATCGTGCCATCGGCTACCTTTGTCCATCACAAGTGGACCGCCTATTTGCTGATCAGTCATCATCAGAAACATCAAACCAATTGTATTTCCTGGATAGAATCATGACGAGACTAAGTTTCTCGTCCTGCGGCCTTTAACCATGTATTCCTACTTTTCTAGTAGTAGTAAAATGAAAAGTGGATGAGAGTCTTGAGGCCGTTTTTCCTCAATAATAAAGTAAATAGAGAGGTAGTATCCAAGTGCTGCACTGCTGCTGCACTGCTGCTGCGTTTTCCCGCATACAGTCGGAGTGTTTCGTCTTGTTTCGTCTTTCTCTTCGTCTTGTTCCTTTCCACGTTCATCCTCAACTAACCTCACTTCTTCCTCTCCTCCTCTAACTATCTATTTTCTGACCATCATCAATTCCCTCTGAGTGTTGTCATTTTATTAATTCAAGCTTCCACACAACATCTCAATCGACCTCCATCTTCTGATCGAGTCCCTCACCTCTTCTGAGGGTTGACTCTGTCGATCACCCTAGGTTCGCGTTTACACCTCCAGTCGCGCCATTCCCCGCATAGCCGCTATTCTCCGTCCAATTTCATTCCTCCTTCGACCTTGAATTGTTACCTGACAAAAATTACTCTATATCCTTCGCATTCGGGGCAATCCATATCCTCTGCTACTTGCTCTGGGAGACACGGTTGTCTCACAAGGCCTCCCGTCCTCTGTGAGGTCATTCCTTTCCCTTCTCGCCTGCGTACCCCCGCGACCCAGCCATGGCCCGTTAGTCCTGCGGATGCATTCATAACACCACACGAGGGCACCGGCTCTGCCCGGCAGATGCTCTGCTCGGCTTAGTGTACACTTTCGGTTCATTTGGCTCGCTTGGTTCTTCCTCGCGCGCTGCACTCACAACACGTCGTCTACGCCGCTCTCTGTCCTCCATTCGCTCGGTTGGACCTTTCAGCATGGCGGGCCATGGCATACCCAGTGCCCAGTTCCTTGCTCCTCCGGCCGTTACTGCCTTGAGGCAGGAGGCCCGGGGGATCGACCCGAAATTCCCACCCATGACTCGTTCCCTTAGCGATGATATGCGGGAGGAACGTGAGGAGCTGAAGGAGGCGGCGGAGCAGACCTTGAACGTCATCGTGGATTTGGATCTTGACGGCCGTATCAAATGGGTCAGTCCATCATGGCGACAAGTGGTGGGGACATCTCCCGAATCGTTAGAAGGGCGAATGATTTCGGATTTCTTGGTCGACAATAAGACTGCCTTCCACAATGCCATTGAGTCCATGAAGGAAGATGACTCTCGCAGTCGCTTTATTCGCTTCAGTGTGAGGATGGGTCCCGAGTCAATACTGAAATACTCGCCCGAGCCGCGACCAGTCGAGACGGCGACAGAAGAAAGCAGTGAGGGCTTCCAACCGTCGGAGGAAATAGACAACGACCATGACGTTTTGAGCATGGAAGGGCAGGGCATAATGGTATTTGAGCGGACGCCAGATGGGACCGGTCATGTAGGTTTCCACTAGTCCCGACATAACCCTTTAATCCGCAGAATGACAGACTAACGATGTTCTGATTTCAGACTATGTGGATGCTACGACCTTTCCACCAACCCCGGGAAGTGACTATTGATCTCCCTCCTCTGCTGGTGGAGTCATTGGGTGTCGGTGCAGAAGTACTGGCGAACTACTTGACAACTCTGGCTGAGGCTGCAGCGAATGAACCCGATCCCTCGAAGTACCCTGCGCCCAATCCGGTGCTCTGTCGCATTTGTGAGCGTCAGATCACCCCTTGGTGGTTCGAGAAACACTCCGATCTCTGCCTTCAGGAACATCGGGCAGAGATGGACGTCCAGATCGCTCAGGAAAATCTTAACGAGCACCGTCACATAATCGTGAAAGTCCTAGATGCATTGGAGGCTCGACAAAGCAGGCCTTTGGCGGGAGAGGCGCCTTCCCCGACACCGCAGCCTGAGTATAAGGGACTACCAATCGGGCCGTCACCTGTTGCTTCAGCACCATCTTCTGGAAATGTTTCAAACTCTAGCTCGGCTCCATGCACTCCCCCCCGATCCCGCGAACATTCAGCCTCGGACGGCGGTCATTCACGCGGTCGGTCATTTGCAGTTCGGCGACCGTTGACTCGGATCGTTGAGCTGATTCTCGATTTGTGTGACACAGCTCTCGAAATTAACATGCCCGTGATCAAGGAACCCCGCGGGGACAGCATGGACGATTTCCGGACTCTGTCACCGCAATCCGAATCTCGAATCTCTCAAGTATTGCAGTGGCAATCTCCCAGTTCCAATACCTTGGAACAGGAGCAAGGTCTCGCTGCCTTAAGCGCTGACACGGAGCAGGTCTCCAAAGCGAAAGTTGACGCAGTTATTCGCCATCGCAAGATCGTCGAATACGCAGAGCGGATCCGCATCGAGTATACGGTGATGGTGGAAGACTGTATTGCAGCTGCCCTTAGTAAGGCTGAACGTATTGCTGCCGGCCAGTTGAGCGATTCAACTTGCTCATCTGAAGATGAACTCCCGCCTGAAGACGCTGCTGCTCTCTCTGCGACGGCCAACGACAGTAGGGCTGCGGTCGCTCCTCCCCTGTCACCGCAGCCCGTGACCCGGCAGCCAACTCCGTCGATGTCCGCATTGACCATGTCTATGCGCAATGCATCCGAACGCTTCCAATTTCCGGCCACCGAAGGCAGGTCGTCCTCGGTTGCTGTCTCTACAGGATCAAACAGCCCGATGGAGTGTCCTACTCCCCGATCGCACAGAAGTGCCGCGGGATTATTAGGTACATCTCAACCTTCTCGTCGGGGGCTTTCGATGGCGGATCTCGATGCGGGCGAAATGAGCGACAGCAGTGTGCTTTCTTCTGCTTTTACCGGAGCCGTACGAACTGAATCTCCCTCATCCGACCGGAGCCTGGAGAGAAAACGCAGGAGCCTGGTGCTCCCAGGGTTGTCCAG